AAGTCATATGTAGGAATAAGCCTAATGAGAATGTTAAATATAGCAGTGCGATGTCATCATTCATTCAAGCCAATTTTTTTGAAGTTATGCGGTTCATTAAACCCTTCTTGAACCATTCAATCACAACCGTTGAGGGCGGAAAAAACTGGAAATAAAAACAGGTAGGCCTAAAGTTTACTGCTTTTTTTTTTTGTTATATTTCATTATCATCATAAATGTTATAGCTATCATCATTGCCACTACTACCACTACCTCAGACAGAATATTTAAGATAACTAGTATTGTTTCAAATACTGGTATGTCGTCGCTGATTTCCTTGTAGCTCTCCACGTTCTTGGTGGAGATCCTGCGTCAATCTTGAGAAGGAAGTGCTTTGTATCGGATCTACACAAGTCTGTTGAGGTTAACCCAATTCTTTTTTCCCCCAAATTTACAACCTTTCGTGTTACTAAAAGGACAGTCAACAAACTGTTTAACAAAGTTCATACTTAGACCATCAGTTCGATCCAGGATGGTTGGTTGGGATGCTGTGACAGAATTTTTGTAGCATAATGATTAACAGGAATTATCTGTTCCTTGAAAGATATGATGAAAGATTTAAGCTACCATGACTGGTTGTTTTTATTTGCGAGCTTAATTGTTTGGACGTTTCATCTCAGGTTTGCAGGAATATTACCAGTGTGTCGAATGCTTTTAGTCGGTTTTGCCATCGGCATCTAACAACTCTTATTTAACACTGCAAATCTTAAACTACTGTGGTAGACCTTTCTTTTCACTCCCATATATTCCTATTCGGAATCCTTGGGAGTCAATCTTTATACACCAAATCCAAACCGAAGACAGGCCACAGCTGTCTCAGTCAAAAAATGCTGGTGAAAAAGACGATTCTTGCTCAGCTTAAATCAGTGTTTACACGCTGCAGTTAGTGTGAACTCTAAATGTAAATGAATCATTCTTGACAAAAATTTCAACAAATAATTATACAACTGTAGCAGCTTTAAAATATGTTGTAGAGCACAGCATCTTCGGGAGTAGAGTTTGTGAGAAAAATTGACAAAATTCAAGAAACATACATTGGTATCTGGTGCAGAATACATTTGATTGAACATAGGGTTTGAGGTATTGACTTGGAAACAGTCATTTTTTTTCTTAAATTGAACATAAATGTCTGAGGTGTTAAAATAGAATGCCACAGCATCACTTTTGCCAGATTGCTAGTGTTTATCTACAGACTGTAAATACAGAGTATTTCTTGTGCTCTTGTTTTTTTCCAAATGCATCACTGATCTATTTATATGATATCAGATAAAATAAAATGATTATTGTATGATATATAAATGAATAACGATGATCTATTTGCAATTGTTTTGTTTAAAACTAATTTTCGGCAGCGGCCATTTTGAAATTCAAAATAGATGCCCTAAAATTGAATAAAGAAACTGGCACCCATTTTTTTTTTAATCAGTGGGTTTTTATAGATATTTTTAGACATGTTTGCCAAGAATCTACGTAAACAAATGACAAAGTTAAAAAATATGACATAAGACAAGAGACTATTAATGACGATCCGTTCAGACTGCCAACGACGGCGTCGCGTCGTCTGGCGCTCACGGAAAGTTGGGTTCGTCGTACGAAGGTAATACGACCGTCGTACGATGCAGTGAGTGCCCGGCTTAAGTAATAAATAAATAAATAAATAGAATAAATAGAAAATCTAGGTAAAGGTTAGTTTAAGTTTGGTGCTGCCTGTCATACGCAAGAAGATAAGAACGTTAAAGTTTGGTAATAAAAGAGTTTTTGTATAATCATTAAAATACAAATTTATAACGTAATTATACAATTAAATAACGTTACTACAATGTTGTGGTGAAGTCATTTTTTAAAATACATAAGTGGTATAGACTCTCCATCTATGAAAGTCCTTTCCTGAGTCTCCTCTATTTCATATTCCTCGATGCATCCGCCACTGGTATAACATTTATTTCGTTAAAATACAATGACATACATGATTAAAAAACGAGCACACCTAAAATCCCACAATGGAATTGGCGACCGGGGCCCAAAAGCCCTACTCTCAGAAAGCCAAAGGCACAGGGCCCCCGGCCTCATCGTTACGCCACTGAGGCCTAACTACAGCATTCAGCGTATAATTAGGTTTTACGTCTGCTGGGTCTACTGTATTATATTATATTCTATACTGAAAACCAAACAAATAAGTTACCAATGTTCGGTCTTTTGCCTTCTTCTAAGCGAAAACAGTCATCATTTTGTGTTACGATATTATGCTTAAAAAACTGTTTATTCTTACTTGGCATTTTGTACCTATTTTTTTTTTATCTTGGGGCGGTCGAGAAAAAGACCTTGGTTGCGTAGGGCAAAAACAAATTTTAATCTTTCTTTTGAAAGACAAATAGACACATACAATAGAACCATGCCCTCACGATGTCACCGGGGACGCAACTGCCAAAAAACTATTTTTGGAAGCGAAGGGATGCTACCAATAAACAGTCAACAAACTAACGGGTTTCTGGGTTAAATTTCAAGGTACTACATGGCTCCACTATTTTTTACTTAGGGGCTAATTGGTAAAAATCGCACACAAATCATACGACGTCACTGACAACGACGGGGACAGCAACTCGATTTTGAGATTAATTTTCCGAATAAAGTTATATACTAAATAATTTCTAATGACGAATTATTGTCTTCAGTTGTCTTTTTTGGTCATTCAACTGTCATTTTATCTATTTTTTCGGTGATATTACCATTCTCAATAATTTATAAAGCACCCACATAACAACGTCACGTTAGATCGATAATATGTGTGGACGCCGTGGTGACGCCGGTAGCGTCCATTTTCGTCGGAAGGTATCAAGATGATAAACAGTTTCATTGGACAAAATTCTTGCTTATGTTAACCACTTGCTTACCTAAGATTATACTGGCACCGGATTTAAATGAAATAACTGACAACTTTGGTTTGTATCAATATTTTAATAAGTACATAAAACAAATACGTATGCAAAAATGCACAGGGACACCACGCTGTTTTCGTATTTTTCTTGAAATCTGTATGCCTGATCACCATCATCATACCATGGAGGTATTATCAATAATACCTCCATGATCATACCAAGGTAATTCAACAGAAGGATGCACATCTCCGTTCTCGAACATAGCGCGTGCGTACAGTCCTTTGATCTTTACTGTGGCATCGACAATCCGATACTAGTTGCGAGTACAGCCGTCAATTATTAGTCTATGCGTGCCATTCGTTTTATGGTGTTAGTTTTTATTTGCTTATTAATTGTGGGTACTTCGCAATGTCTGTTACATCTGATTTTTTTTTGACCGCGAACTTGTTAAATGCTTCTATAAACTGCAATTTGATTTGTGAAAATGAAAATTTAAAATTTACAAATTTTATAAAATTTCATGTTCTTATGTAACATTATTCTGTCATTTTGACAATGTTGGCATAAGGTGCCGAAAACGAACATTTGAGTATATACAGAACATTTATTAATTTTTTCTGCGAAGCGAGTCACATGAACGACAATTCACCACAATTTTGGTAAAATTAATGTTGAAATGAAGAATATATTTCAGTCTAATGTTAGTGCAAAATATCATTAGGCCCTTGTAATCACCGCACGACGCGCGATTATCATGGCAACTAACACGCGCGTGGGTAAATCGTCTCGTACGCTGAGAGTTTATGGTTTGGTTGCTATGGCTTTTGTGACGTTCAGCGTGTAGGGACGCACGTGCGCCTAGAATGTCGATGCCAGAGTTATAACCTTTGATGTCCCGAGATGTGCGTCCTTCTGTTTAATGGACCTTTCCGCTAAGCTCCGCCCCTTGGATATTGTTGCTTAGGTCCCACAAATACAGCAGTGTTAAAACATACGCGAACACGCGAACACGTGCGTTTGTGGGACAACACGTGTGTTTGTAAGACGCGCGCGCATTCCTAGTGCTGTTCTGATTAGTCAGTTGTTAAGTTTGATTGACACTCTGGAAAGGTCTATTGCCTTGATCATACACAGTATAATAGATTCAAGTAAGATATTTCAAATGATATAAAAATGTATGCAAAAAATGCCTTTGGTACAGTTTTTTTTTTTTTTTTCGAGTTTTATTTACCTTAACGTCGACTCCGTCTTAGAAAGCACCAGGATTAATCACCACGCTGTATTTGTATTTTTCTTGAAATCTGTATGCCTGATCACCATCATCATACACAGTATAATAGATTCAAGTAAGATGTTTCAAATGAAAATTCATCGTAGCCATTATTTATTATCAATACGTTCCCGGCGTCATTCCTTGAATCGGGACGGTATGTACTACTTTACCGCTTGAGTTCACGATGTACACATGACATGGGTCATATCATGTAAAGATAATTATTTTTCCCGAATTATAATTTGTATTTTTAATGTATTGCTAGAGACAGGTCCCTGCATTCAACAAATATGTGGATATTCCTTGTACCGTTATTTACTACCAACTATTGCCCCGGCATCACTAATTTTGATCAAGACGGCACGTACGAAATTATCTTCAATCACTTCCTGATTTCACGACATGCACATGACAATCGGGACGCTACGTGCCTCTCTCATTGAGTTGACGTTGAGAACGTTTTACCTTCCTATCATGCACGATATTTCTTCCTATTTACTATTTGAATATGAATGAAATACTAATTATAGTTTCGTGCATTTTAGAATTCTGAGAATATTCATCGTAATTGTTATTTTTTAAAAGAAACATCATACCGACGTAATCTAGTTTTCTACACTAATTTAAGTGTATAGGTATACTTGCAAGGTCTTTGTCTAATTATTAAATTTATATCCCCATAAGCTATAAAAATGTGTAAAATATAAGCATGAATCTATACTTCCTTATTTTGAGAATTAGAGCCCCTCAACTGATCATCGAGCACCCTCCTGCCCACTTCAATTATTATTATAATTATTATTATTATTATTATTATTATTATTATTATTATTATTATTATTATTATTACTATTATTATTATTATATTAAGGTTAGGGTATGAGTGAGCCCTTACTGGCGTACTACCGACTCAATAATAAATATCTATTCATCATGTAACGAAAGTTAAACTTTTGATCAAAACACAAAATAATTCATCCTTTCATCATGTTTCTAATATCACGATTTAGTGCTCTTGGATTAGACGTGACCCGTTCACACACTAAATTCAAGTCTAACGTTAAAATGTACCCATTACCAAAATCACAAACGTCTAACGAATCGTGTGATTGGCAGATGTCGCTTGTATAGTTACCGCGCTTTTCGTAATTTATCCGCTTTCTTTTAAATTCTTCACCAGAAACGCACGTTTTATAGAGAAATGAAGTCATACTCTTGAAGGCGGTTAAATCTGCCTGAAATGCTGGGCCATAGTTCTTAATATGATCTTGCAGACGCTTTACAAAATAATGATACATTTTCGTGTCAATGGCGTTCCATTGAGCGATCTTTCTACTAAGTCCTGCGTCTATCACGGCACGCTCTCCTCTCTGGTTTCGAGGTAGATACAGTATATCACTGAATTGCCAGCAAAGCATTTTCTTCATTATTATCAATGATTCGTCGTAAAATTCGTTGATCAGTACAAAATCTATTTCATCATCTAACCGCTGTATGTTGTAATCAATGAGAAAATCATTGGTACACAAAGCCGGATCAACACCCAAATCCCAAATTTGATTATTATAGGAAAACTTTTTTTTAGTTAAGCTTAGGTTTCTCCAGTTCGCCGAAACATCCTCAAAAAACAATTCTAACTTCTGCGTTTTATTCAACGGCTTCTCAGTCGTGTTACGATTTAAGATAGATCCGACATGAAAGAAATCGAATGCAGACTCAAACTGCGCGACTGGGTCACGGATTATAGTAATATACATAGAGTTTAATTCCATAAATGCATCATAAACTGGTCTGTTGTATCGAGAATGTAAAGTGAACACATTGTATCTGTACTCCTCGTAATTCCCGCTCTCAACGCCCATTGGCGGCAAAAACAGCCGTTTGGAATCAAAATTGAAATTCCTGTTTCCAAAGTGGATAGATCCTCCTTCTCCTATCTTCCTCACAACATTCAGTTTATTGTCATATGCATACTGTTCAATTATTCTTGCAAGAGTCGTTCCGCCTGTCTTGTGGGTTTTAAGAAACACTATGTTTTTCTTCTCTGCACAATCAATATTTTTACTTTAAAAAAAAAAGAAATGTCAATCATTAAGTTTTTAATGATAGTAGGTTTTTAATATAGCGCCCTATAATAATCTCTAAGAGGAAAAAAATGTTCATATAAGAAAAATAAACGATGAATAAAAGGTGTGGCCACGTTTAGTCTGCTTATAGAACAATATAAGAAATGACAAATCTCAGCGCTTTAAAGACTAACTATAACCAAGTATAGAGATGCATGGACTCTCGGGGTTTCGTTGGAACGCAATAGTACTACCACAAACTAGAGGGCGTCTTTTAAGACAGTGTAAAAAGCGTTCGTATCGTCGAACTCATGCTGCAAGTAGCAATTATTTTTCCGTAGGTAAGTTTGGTCAAATATCATTAATTATTCATAACTCTTCATATATAGACCATATTTTGCGCACGCGCCACTTTCAAGTCTGTGACGTCAGCCCATGATCAGCCTTATATCAGCTGCTCTGTACTGTACATTTATCGCGATAGGACGTAGATTTCAGCCCTTATATGGGCCAGTATTTGAATCAATGTAAAAATAAAACCAGTGATTGAATTGACTCAATTTTAATACATTAGCCTAAATTTAATATCCGGAACACAACACAACATTACGTGATGATAAACATCAGACAGAAATAGTGTGGACCCTAGTGTCATTTCGCGAGATAGGCTTGCCCAAAGCAATTTTATTGCATTTTCTGGATATTTTGGGTATGCTGAATCCAAAAATGCAAGGGTCCATTTTTTCCGAGATTGCCTTGGCGGCAATTTTGGAATTTCAAAATGGCCGCCATTTTCACATTAAAAATAACAATAACTGTGCCATTAGAGCAAATATCAACATCATTTTGGCAACAAACCCTATATTTTCAATGTCAACCTGTCCAATAGTGATATTCTCACTGATCATAAATGGCGGCCATCTTGAATTTCAAAATGGCTGCCGTTTTTATAGTAAAAATAACAATAGTTGTGCTATTAGAGCAGGTATCAACTTATTTTGGCAGCAAACCATGTATTTTCAATGTCAATTTGTGCAATGGTGAGATACTTACGAATCATACACGGCAGCCATATTGAATTTCAAAATGGCTGCCATTTTTACAGTAATAATAACCATAATTGTGCTTTTAGAGCAGGTATCGACATGATTTTAATAGTGTCATTTCGCGAGATAGGCTTGCCCAAAGCAATTTTATTGCATTTTCTGGATATTTTTGGTATGCTGAATTAAAAAATGCAAGGGTTCATTTTTTCCGAGATTGTTTTGGCGGCCATTTTGGAATTTCAAAATGGCCGCCATTTTCACATAAAAAAATAACAATAACTGTGCCATTAGAGCAAATATCAACATCGTTTTGGCAGCAAACCCTATATTTACAATGTCAACCTGTCCAATGGTGATATTCTCACTGATCATTAATGACGGCCATCTTGAATTTCAAAATGGCTGCCGTTCTTACAGTAAAAATAACAATAGTTGTGCTATTAGAGCAAACTTTATATTTTCAATGTCAACCTGTCCAATGGTGAGATTCTTTAAAGTTATTTAAAATCAATACCGTACTTTTATTATTGGAATACATACCGGTATCATAAGAATCATGAGATTTGCCCTTATAATACATTAATAGCTGAAGCCTCCAAGGGTAATGGGAACACCTCTCCCCACCCCATGACCAAATTCCCCCGTTTTTTACTATCAAAATGTTAGCATTTATGAAAACTGCATTATTTTTTTAAAGTAAATATGTCAATTGAAAAAGATTTATTACGAACACATTAACCAGTCCAATGGTGATATTCACATGAAGAACGGAGGCCAGCTGTCTTTACTCAAAATGACTGACATTTTCTCAGATGCATGTCAAGTGTTTTTACAATATCAGCCACTCCGGTATTAATCTATAAATTACATAAGAGTTCCTTAATCAGCAGATCAACATACCTTGTTAGAACAATAAAACTTGTGTCATGCTATATTCTTCTCTGCCATCTACACATTTGAAACTTGAAATTATTTCATTAGGTATTATTGTTTAAGAGTTTCCATGACGAAGTAACAATAATTAAAAAAAAATGTACCGGTAGATGTTGGTGGTAGTAGATATCTACATGGTGTAGAGCAAACTGGTGTAGTCAAACATGAACAAGATCAAGAACCACAATGGAAACCATTACACCAACCCACTCTCTCATCATTAATGATTAAATTGGTAGGCATATATACCACCTATGCCCTTCAAATTAGCCTCATTGTATACTACTAGTTTTTAAAGCAAATTCAGTTATTATGGTGTAGACGTCTGTTCAAGCACTTTAAAAGTGCTTGACCAGACGTCTACACCATAAAATCGGGCAGAAGATTATAGTTCTTGCGCAATTTTTTCTGGAACTCAAATTTAGCCACCACTACGACTGCTTTGGGTGCTGGAAAAGTAAAATATGTTGTTGGCATGACCTATTAATATTGCTCCCATCAAAAATTCTTTCTTGACTGAGATAATATTTTAATTGAAGTTTCATGTACATAAGTCATATCAAGGTAACCACAGTACTTGCAATTTTCCTATTTTTTCATTTGCAATAACCAACATTGATATAGGATGGCAAGTAAGCATTTATTAGTTTTGTGTCTAAGGCAGTCTATAAAATACAGTAGCATCAATGTCTCTGTCATTTGATGCATCCTGATAATGTTTAACATCTTCCGACAATTGAAAGTGTTGACCTTGGTATCTGTTCCCTAATCAATAACCAACTTTTTAAACTGCATTCTCCAAATAGATGTGCCCATGTGCCATAGATGACTTGATTTTTCCAAAAGATAATATCTATCACAGACACATGGTTTATTGCCAAATTTCTTTCGATGTCATATTAATTGGTTTTGGTTTGTTCTTTTAATAGTTTGCACTTCACTAAATCTTGAACATCATATCTGTCGAATTTTTAACAAAGTTGGACTGTTTTACCTGGTTTGTAATCGTTAATCCGTGTCTTTGATGCTGTCATTATTTATTATTGATATATTGATCATGATAAACTCTAACCATTAGCAAAGCTAAGGAAACAACCTCTGTCTTTGTTCTATTAACTTGATACGTTGTCCCCAATCCCACAAGTATATTTTGGTATTGCCAAATGGTAAAAATACCAATGAAGTAGATCCAACTCTTATTTTTTGAAAAATAACCCATAGTGAACAAAAAAGTAGTTTGCGCATTCCTTGTTCTACTGTCTTTGCCGATACAGCCTTGCCCTGTGCACCTAATTGTGACCTCTTCCTTTAGAAGTAATTTACTGCGATTTAATTTAATCTGCATGGGAATATTAACTGTGGATTGTTTGATATTACAAGAATATATATATATATATATATATATATATATACATATATATATATATAGTTTGCATTTGCAGTAGGTTTAACGCATTTAATACAATTATCGATATTCGATATTTACGTTAAATTTCTTAGATATTTTAGACTTAAAAAAACATACGTATGACAGTTTTGGTCACTCAGTTACCATTATCAAACTAACGTGTAAAAATCTGCATATCTATCTCCAGCTTGCCGACTGGTGGTATTGTGTCGGCAAACCTCTCCTGGTCTGATGTAAGCAGGAGTCCCTGGGTCTTGTTGTGGGTCGACAAAATTGTTCAAACACATGGGACAATTGGTGTACTCCCTCGTCTCTGTTAATATTATTGTCTTTACTTCTGAACCATTAGATCCTTATTCATCTACTGCCGTCATCAGTTCCCCATGTAAGTTGTAGTATTTCCAATCTGGGATGTCGTTGTGTGTGCATGTCTCATTAAGAAGAACCCATGTT